TTTAAATTCAACATGCAGTATCAAAAGTTATAGCCGGTTAAAAACTACATTTTCATTTGGTAATGGGTAAAATAAAACAAAGTTGATTTATCTTATGCACATCAATTTTTTATTTCTACATACATTTGCCTGAAAATTCACAGGGATGATGTCAATTATAGTAACTTGCAATCCAGGAAATTTCAGCAATTTATCTTTATCAATTTTTAAGTTATGATCGTTTTGCTATTAGGTATGCCAGCTTTTCAGCTCACCTGAACATCGTGGCCAGAGCTGAATAGAAGTCAAATTTTTACACCATTTATGACAAAAACATCTTTAAAACTTATATCAAGAATAAAGGAATATCATCCCCACTGTTTATATCACTGTCACTCGAAAACACCTTATCAGTGTCGAAGTTTTCAATCATTTCAATAACAGTATTCATTCGCAGGCCCCTTCCGTAGTGAGAAGTCGCCATTTTGATTTTACTTTCACCAGCTAGGTCTAGAAAATCGCCGATTTCTCGCTCATATATATTTCTATCGTCCTTTATATCATAAATAAATGAATATCAACGCCACTGTCTATGTTACTGTCACACGAAAACTTCTCTTCAAAGTCCGGATTTTTAATCATTTCAATAACAGTATCCCTTCGCAGGTCCCTACCGTAGCGAGGAGCCGCCATCTTGATTTTATTTTCTCCAACTAAGTCTTGAAAATCGCCGTTTTCTCGCTCATATATATTTCTATCGCCTTTAAAAATGGTGGCAATGAGAGACAAGAAACATACCCGGATGTTAAACTATATATCATTTCATGACTCACGATTCAAAAGAGTACAGAAGACGATCTTTCCAAGATACGCACATATGCGGTTCTGGGCGTTTGGGGTAAGCGATAATTGAACCGCACATATGCGGTGACGGGCTCTATGGGGTTAATTAAGTAAACCACAAGACAGAGATATGATTTCATCATAATCAGAATTAATCATTGGCGCACTCACACAAGGATCACTTAGACGAATATTGAGTCAAGTATTACAGAACTTATTGTAATCAGAATAGCACCTGGGTACCAAGAGAAGAACATTTATCTGGGGATGAAGAAGAGGATGAGAAGAACCTCACATTTCACAAATTATAGAAATCTTTGAAAAAAACCTGCAAAATTTTGATCAATCTGCCCCATGGTAGTGTGAACGCGCCTGAAGAGACATGTTTCATGAATCTCCTCAATTTCTGATCAATGATTCCAATAAGGAAATCTCAAAGAGAGATTGATCTCCTCGTAACTATAGCGTAAATGCGTTCACATCTTCTGATGCAATTTTCATAAATCTCATTAATTTTAATCAATGAAGGTACATTGCAATAGATGAATCTTGTGCGCATGAAAATGATACGTAAGGATGTGTAATCTTGTCTTTGAATTACTTTTGAATACCTAATAACTGGGGATGTCATATAATGTTGTTTACAGAATGTACATGTGCTATATTCAATGGGGGAAAATGCCTTTGCCTTGCAGTGAAACTTTAATTGCCATTTTATTACAGACAAATGTAAATTTATGCACCATGAGGAGTTCTGAATTCTTAACAGGTATAAAAAGAGCAATGCTTAATACCACCACAATATCCAGGCCAGTAGCCAACTATTTCAAAAAAAAAGGGGGGGGGGGTATTTCTCTTCAAATAGGTGGACCTGTACATCATAATGGCTAATTTTTTCACAGCAGTAGTTTCCTGGCCAAAAAGGTGGCTCATTTCACACACACACCCCTCTCCCAGGAATCCCCCTGTAGAGGACCTGATAACTCAGAAACAACACATGGTCTAAATTCATGTGGAATCAGTGGCATTCAGTCCCATACACATTACTAAATATAACATTGCCACTTGTTAGGAGTAAGTATATAATACTTGGCATTCTACAACTCCCCATAGATACCCTGTTTAGTTATAACGTATCTCAAGAGTATTGAAATCATCCTCATTACAAAAGCATTTACCATATAGCAGCAGCAGCTCAATGAGATGATAGGACATATGTAAGATTTTTGGCAAAAAAACATCATGCAGACTAAATATTTTTGTAATAGCTGCAACACATTACATTTTAGACACAGTCAAAAGTTTTTTCATACATGTACTGGTAAATATTCTTAATTTAGTCAGTTATATTTGCCATATTTTATAGGTACACAGTGCATGTACACCTAGTGTGTGTACTAGTATGTGTGTGTGTGTGTGTGTGTGTGTGTGTGTATGACTGCTCCACACATCAGCCATATTCACTGGCATTTACTTATCTTTGACATAAAAGAACTAGCTCATTTTTGACCTGTAACTATTTATAACATTGCAGGATGAAGGCTGAGTCGTATTTTCTGGCATGCAACAACTTCTCAGATATTTTCTCTGTCAGTTATTTATCTTTTACAGTAAGAAAACCCTATTGTTAGCAACACATATGATACCAGAGTACAGTCAGGTTTCTGCAACTTGAAGACTGCCTGTTCGTTACATGAAAATTAAGGAATCTGCACAACTTATTATTGTTTTGACTCCAAGTCTAGATATAAGGATAAATATCAAAGCTAGCTGCCCAACTAGACATAAATAAAAGTAATGTCATCAGAGCAGAGTTTTGGTTTTTGACTTAGTGCGGCACCCATTAGACCTCTGATACGGATTCTGACTGAGGTCCTTCAAGCAGCAAGGGGGCTGTGAAAAGCTATGAGAGGTAGTTTAAAGCATAAAAGAAAATCTAAAAGTAAATACAGACCATTGAACCTCTAATGTTGACCAAACATATTGTTATAGCCGGCTGTTTATTGACTTTATGAACATTTTCTATGAATGCAAATTCCAATGAAATTTGAGTGCACTAGAAATAGAATGCCACGCACTGTCGATGTTATCACCTTAACTTTACTTGTTCTTATAAACGGCTAAGTAAATGTGTTATTATGTGTTCCTGACCCACAGTGCAAACAAGAACCAGCGTTTTGAAATCAGGTATTTAACTGACAATGGATCTGAGGTATGGAGTCAACTATGACAAAGCAGTATTCCTTTTTTTTAAATAGTTGCCTGCCATAAAAACAGTTGTTTTATTATTTTTTTGTCAATTCTTGCCACAAAATTTATGTTTTAACATTTCAGTATAAACATGTCGGCATCTTTGTATAATAATGCTGGTCACAGGTACAATATCAATAAAAATCATAGCGCCAATTCAAAACCTGAGCACCTTGAACCATACTATTAATTTCTCGAATACCAGGTATAGAACATTTTCACCACCATACCTAACAATTGATATGTACCCCCTGTAACTCAGTTTCTTAAAAATTCAAATTTTTCTTCAATATTTCAACATTTAAATTTACCAAAATAATCAAATGGACTTTCTTTTACATTATTGGTGATTCAAAAACACATTAAATACCAATGACTCACGAATGAACCGTCTTATAACTTACTGATGGATTTTAATAAAAAACCATAGGAGACGTGGCACAAAATATCCCAATTTTAATTAATTGATTTTTTTCAGTCTTCTAATAATGTTGAATCCATTATTAGCAACATGTGGATGTCACAGAAGTTGAGTTGCCATCCTTTGACAAATTATTGTTACTTCATAATTGATCAATTTTATTTCTATATACTGCAACATGTTTAATGCCACAATTATCCTCTCTTAATCTTCATCCTATAGATTAATGACTTTCCTAGCCTTTATCTAGTTATTTAATTCATACTTAACTTTTCCAGGCATGTCCAATGTATCAATTTGCTTTGAATAATGAGACATATTCTATTTCACTTTAAAATGTTTTGTGTTTATAATTTTGATCGATTTTGCTCAAAATAGGAAAAAAAACATTTTCTGTGCTGGGACGATCTTCTCAAAACTTACAGTGATAATCACAGCCCCAACTAATGACATCCCAAATCTGGTAATCGTGTTGAATTATTAATGACAGTAGTGTGATTTCTCAATAATCCTGCCACTGTGGATTTATGAGAAGTGACAGCGCTTGATCAGGAGTCTGATTTCTAGCAGACATGCTGTATGCACTATGGCAGTTATTAATCAAGTTTTTCCTGTTGTCTCTGCATGATGTAAAAAATCAATTAGTTTTCATAGACAGCGCTCCTTTGAATATGATGTCATGATCATCAGTGCATATATGTATTCTAGGATTTTCAAACTTTTGATCTCTCTCCTGTTTTTCACATGATTGAAATATATCAAATTCCAAAATCTTATTAAATATATATACATTTATCCAATACGTTCAACATACAGCTTCAAAGTTGTTGTCAATTTCCTTTTAATCTTTTCTTTTTCTCTCTTTCAAAAATTTGTATCCCCAGATGTATCAGATAATTCTTAAACAATATCCAAAAATTCACCACACAGGTCTCGTACATTCTGTGCAAAAATGAATTTTTGAAGTACTAAAACATGCTAAACTTTATAAATCTCAGTGACAGTTTCAGAATATTGAAATGGGTGGGAGGAGGTGGGTTGTTACAAAGATAAAAAAATTGCCAAGTTTAGCTAAGTGAGATGAATATGCCATGATAGACAAGGGTAGTTTTGGTAAAATAAGTAAGGCACAGGATAAAAAAAATTACTTCATTCTATCGCTTTTTCTTTTAACAAGGAGGGGGTTCATCCACTGTCCATGGCACTGCTCCCCTCCCCCCCTGCACACACACACACACACACACACACACACCAGCCATAATACATAAGCAATATGTACTTTAAGCATTTTTGTCCTGACTTGAACAAATGACTAATGTTGGTGATAAATCACAGAACAGTTTATCATTCTCTACAATCCTTGGTAATGGGATTTAGTCATTAGCTCCTGCTGTATGTGTTAGAGAGATATTACTCAATCACAGCCATAGGCAGGCATGACACAACTTGGACATTTATTCTTGTATTGTGACATGAATGAAGCTCACCTGTGAGACAGCTTCAATGCATTGCTCTTTCAAAACACTCCAGTGCTCAAGTACATCTATCAACTTCTTGGCTGGTTTCTTCCTTCAGCCTTTCTCTCCATCCATACAGTAGTATCCAGTTGTGGAGTAGATTTGTGGGTCTTGCTTTACTCAAATTCCTTGTCGCCAAAACAGTAGTACACACACACACTGGGCTTGAGACCTGATTAACTCACTTGAGAATGTGATGTCTTCTGAAAGAGAGTAAACAAGAATGAAGGAGTGTAAGTTAGCACTAGTAAAGTACCCATACAATAGCTCCGCCTTCTGTGGAATGTGACCAATGGGAAGTGTCGGCCGTACGGCTTGGGCTGAAAACTTTCGCAGCTGCATTATAAGAGTATAGGGTTAAAAAGTCATGTTTACTTTTCACTTTTGACTGCAATGATTTGCTGTAGTCTAAAAAGCATTTAAATAAAAATATTCAGTGACTTTTGTTAATTTGTTGTTGAAGCACCTAATTAAAAAAGACTAAACATTGCCTTGGATAGGACTGATGGCTAGTACAGACAGACAGAGTAGTACAGACTAAAGATATACAATATTGAGTTTGGCCATTTGGTTTTAAGACATAAGCCCAGTTCTTGCAAGAATTGCATTAATTCCACTCGCAAAAACTAGTTCTGAATATTAAAAATTGGTAAATAAGAATTATTTCCACTTGATTAATCAAACCAAATCTAGTATCAGAACCCAATGAAACCATGTTTTAAGATCTCATATTTTGATTAAAATAGGGGGAAAAGCAATAGTGAAGCAATCATATAGCAGCTTGATACCATTTTCTATGTCAGTTGCAAATATGCAATTGAGGGATCATGTGTTGTAACTTACAACTCTCAGTGTATCACAGTGAAATGGAATCAGCATATTAATTCTGGTTACATGACAGAATAGAGATTTTTACTGTTTCTGAACAGTTTTAAGAGCCCATTCCCATTTAGACACCATCGATCTATATGGCTCAACCCAACTCTGCAAGGACTCTCCTTAAGTGCAATCAGCTTTTGAATGACACGCCTCCTTTTGTTCCCCAAGGTATTCATACAATCTCCAGTTTTTCTATATTCTACTTAACGCCAAGAGGAGGCATGATACTTTGTTAAGCTGATTGCACTCAGTGAGAATCCCCACAGAGTTTGGATCGATCAATGTAGACCCATAGTGCTTATGGGAATGTACCCCCTAACATACAGCAAGAATGAGTGAAGTCTAACACACTTAAAGAGAATTAAGCCCCAAAGTATGTGCAAACAGCTCTCACCTATCTCCTCCAATAACAACAGACAAATACAATACTTGGCTTTACCAGTGCCAGTTAGGAAAACACTAACCCTTCTCAAATATCAGGGCAGGACCCCTGGGTGCCCCTGATTGCCCCGGGGATATGGAGGATCACCAGGACCAGAGATTAAATGAACTTTGGGAGCCTGAAACCTTTCTATCTTATTAAATATTTGGTAAAGGGTCCTATTAAGATTGAACATACAAGTTCAATTTTAAGATGGGTAGAGCTGAATTGTACCATCTTCCAGGGGCTTTTATTATTACCACAACTGTTGCATGCTACCCTTCCTCTAGCATTGCTTTTCATTGCACTACCGAAGTCCGAAGCTTGTGAATTTGGGAAGAATTTTGTGAAATCAAATGCAAAGCAAAACAATTTTATTTTATCAAAATCAATGGTCACAATCTTGGAGTCCTTGTTGCAAAAGAGTAAAGGTAAAGTCTTAATTATTTATAATTGTATGTGCAACAATATCAGGTGCAGAGAGAATTTTTTTCACAAAAAAATAAATTATCAATAAAATGTCAGTTCTGTAAGATACCATTGACCAAAGGGATAATACAAGTTGTATAATCCTACCCTAGAAGTGTGAAAACATCCATCTGAAGAGGTTCTAAACCGGTTCAAATAATGTCTGGTGTGAATAGGGCCAAGAGGAGCAGAACACATTAAGTGACCGCAGTTTGTCTAAAACTGTCAACAAACATATTCCGCATCAATACCACTAGCATTTTAGCTACTTAATGACCAAATTGAAAGACAACCCACTTGCCTTGCTTTGTCTTAAATGACTCAAGGTAGGGATTAATAGTCACTTAAGACCTACTCAAATGTTGATCCCTTTCTGTAACATTTGTAAAGATACATTGTAATAAATCTCGCTCCCAGGGATTTTTAGTGCAGTTGCATGGGCACTCCCAAAACTGAACGTGAAATTTTAAAACCTTGTGCATACAGCCAACGTTGCATACAGGGATGGACATGGCTGCAAGCATGTGCCCCTCTCTTTTAGCTGGAAAGGTACACAATATTGCTTCTCTCTCTTCTCCCTCTACAAATCCAGTATAACAAGCAAAATAAGCCAAAAACCAACCCCATTTTCATTACTGTATCCAACATTTTATAGTTACCAATCAAAGCAAGGCAAAAAAAAAAAAAAAAAAAAAAAAAAATGTCCTTGTTCCCCACCCTTACCAAAATTCTGGCTATAAAGTGCACAGCAACTGAAGCCTGGGATAAGATCCTTATTTTCTCATTTCTGTTACTTTATACTAATTCAAAATAGATATAATCACAGTAATTTTTTTGTAAATTTGTCACTGATATTAAGCAATCTTCAGTAAAATTTGGGGCTGAATAAAAAAAAAAAAGTCATTGATTATTATTCCATAAAGGTAAGGCACTTAATGAGTGCACTTAATAGCAATATTTTGATTTACCTGGAAATGACACCACTTTTTCCTTAATTACCAATGTCATGAAAACAATCTACAGTTTTGGAGTTTTTAATCCTATTTAGCTCCAAGTTTTTTAGCTATTAAGTTTCCAATGTCTTTTAATTGAGGTAAAGAATTGTTAACAGTTAAAACTTTGTTGTGTGATATTTGGAGTAGGCAGGATAAGGCCCTCAGGATATATCCAACAGAGACAGTGCAGAGTTGGTTCTTGTTCTAAACAAGGGCAAATAAATGTTGCCAAGGTATTTTACTCATTTGTAGTGTCTCAAGTCAGTCTCTGCTGGATAAGGTTGTAATTGTTTTTAGAACATAATTCACTTAAATCAAGTTTGTCTAAATCATTTACCCAAGAGCTACACAAATTTAAACTAAATTTGTTGTAATACATCAAGACCTGAAAACGTACCCTCCCCCAACACCAACCATGTGGATTGGGAGGTGTCCAAGTAANAACGTAAAAAATATATGGACAGATAGGTGATATTTAGCATGAAACAATTTGGTCGTCTCATGGTTCATTCGGTTTTAACCTAAGGTATACACCACTGGCTGAAGCAATGGGTCTAATGTTCAACGGTGAAAACAATAAGAAACAATAAACAATAAGAAGCTAACAAAGAACTGTATGCCCACCTTTGTGCAGTCTGCGCAGTACCATCCATGATGTAGCTTACAACAATATGCTTCGGCTTCCTGTATGATAGTGGCCATTACACAAGCTACCACCAATATGCCGACAAGAGATCCAGCCATTTTCTGAAAATTTACAGCTAATTATGCATGTATATTATTTCTAAGATAGCATTGCATGCTTATTGGCGCTATAATTGCACAGCACTTTCATTTTTTACACTTGACATGCTTCTCTCATGGTTACGAATACTAGGCACAAAGAAGGACCATTAACAGTTTAAATCAACTCAAAAGATACCGTTTAGGGCCAATATAAAGACATTAAACAAAGAAACTGAAAACGGCTGCTTTGAATATAGCAGGGGAAGATGTTCTATATGATAAATACATCAGCAAAGTCACAGAATGTATATGAGAGAGGTATATCCTCTGATTTTAAACATAATGGATATAATGACTAAATCGACCAACTAAGATGGAAGGAATGCACATATCCGCTATCAAAACTTTTAAAATAAATCAAAAATTTGAATAAAAACGAGTTCCATTAACCGAAACAAAATAACATTCGATTTTTGATACAACTTTTGTATGTAACAACTGCTTACATGTATTTTAGTTTAAGCTTGACAAAATAGTAGAGGCTCTGGAGGTCATGAATCCACAGCATTCCGCATGGTCATCGCCTGCTTCCGCACAATCATCGAAAAGGGTGTTACGGGCAGCAAATGTGCACCAGACAATGTATGGCAAGTTTTTACCCAGACTTAAGTAATAATGCAAGAAGAATGATACTTACACGATCTCTGCTCAGTCAAATGCACGGCAATGCTCTCTCGTCTTTGCTTAAGGTGTTCCGAGGAACAGAATGATGGAAGCGAGTAACAAGCATTCACTTATGTTCCTTATTAAATCCTTGCCAAAGAAACAATTCAAAGACATTGGGAAATGCTGGTAGTAGCAAAATGAAGCTGTTTTTATTTCCACGTGAACGTGAATAAGTTGGAAAACTAAGCAAACACTATCATCATGAATGACAATATTTGGGCTCTTTATTGATTGTTTGCTGTGTTCAAAAAGTGCAAAAAGCGCGTCGTTTAGTTTGTTAGTATTCAAATATATATATATACATGGAATTTTGTTAGGAAACTACTGAAATTCACAAATCGTCTCTGATATTCGGTTTATGAGACAGTTAGATGAAGTTTCTGTTTAGGGTGACAATGGTAGGTCCCCTTTTCCACCCTGTATTTGCTATCTGAAGTGAACTCAGTATTTGGTATATACTTGTATAGCATAACTACTGACAACTGGCAATCTACAACGATGATCTAGAATATTAATATTATGCTTGCTTTGGATTCTCAGCTGGTTCATCAACAATAACTTCATTACTTATGTTCAGGGTACTCTGACTGTTATGATGCTGCAATAACTTCAGACCTTTCTAAAAAATAATGTACGCAGTGAACCGAATTTTACCTAACTTGATAAATACACAGATATATTTTGAAAAGCACTGAATATGTATAGAAACACGAAAACGAGGCTATTCGGGAACATGGCATCTGTCATTTACAGAACTTTTATAGATTAATCTCCACAACGCTTTATAAATGTGTTTCCCGGAAAGCCATTCAGAGGAGAGATCAAAGATTGTTGCGCAGAAAGAAAAAAGACAAAAACAGAACTTTCAGACCGACAAAACTTACAAATAATGGATAGGTTTTTGGAACCACTATAATCATTACGTGTCAAATCTATCCTGAACAAAAGGCGCCAAAGCTTCCTAAAAACCAACTGCCATGTTTTGAAAGGTTTTTGTTTCTTTTAACACCACAAAAT